CGCCCGGGAAGCACGGCGTCTGCTGGAAGGCTGCACCACTCCGCGACACATCTCGTAAGCCCCGAAGTCGACGCCAGACCCAGGCAGCGAGGCGAGTATGGACCAGGCCCCAGGGGCCGACTGCACCAAGGAGCCTGGCCCGGGGTAACGACGTGGACGCCGCACGGGGGACCGCGCATTGCGCGGGGGGGCGGGCCGGGCAGGTGGGAACTGACATCACCAGGCCGGCGGGAGAGAGGCGCCCATCAGGGGACTCCAACGCCAGGAAGCGGCAAGCCACACAACGATGCGAGGCCGCAGGGTCCCGCGGCAACTGGCCGCCCTGTCCTTGCGGGACCCTCGCGTGGCGCGGGCGGGTGGGCACTGACATCACCTGCCGGCCAGGGTGGGGGGGGCCCACAGGAAAAGCCCAGCGCCAGGGGACGGCCAGTGGCCACGCGAGCTTGAAGGCGTTAGCCAGCGAGAACGCGCGGCCGAGGGCTGCCCCATCCTTGCGTGTACAGGGACGAATGGCAGATGGCTATCCCGTCCGTGGAAGAGAAGAAGAGGGGGGGCAGAGAACCAGGGAGCGGTTGACGGCCGCACAGGTTAGCATGTAAACTCCACGGCCCAGTGGAACGGCATGGGAACGTTCCTTGCCCGCAGCGGGTAGACTTCCAGGATCTTGGTATCCCTCGCGCCTGCACGGCCTCCCCGGCGTCCACACTGCCCTTGGTGAGCACTCCTGCGCTGGGGAGGTGGTCCGCCTCCCGGGTCATCGTCCGAGTGTCAGAGACTGACCATTCTTGGCTGAGTGCAGGCCCAGCAGCGGGGCCTCTGGCAGGTGGCCGATCCGCCCTGGACTGCGCCGGGGGATGCGGCAGCTGACCGGTTCGGCCGTGGTGAAGGGGGGGAGGAGGAGCCAGGGGACCAAGGAGCAGCTGACGGCCGCACTGGTAAGTGTGAGAATTTCGCTACTCTGGGGAGGGTAGGGGGCGCTGCTTGCTCACAGACAGCAGTCGTCGGAGAGGTGGCTGATCACGCAGGGGGCCAGGGAGCGGCAGTCAGCCGCCAGGGTAGCGTAAACTCTGCCCCAGGTGTAGGTCTGGGGGCCGACCGATGCTCCCAGCCGATGGCCGCATCCTGGACCCAGGCGCCTCTGGGCCCAAGCTTGTCCCGATGGCGCCTTGGTCATTCGCCTGATCTGCCTCGCCGGGGCGTTGCCCCACTCGCCGGCTTGTAACCGTCCGCTTCCGGGGGCTGCCAGGCGTCTGGCGGGCGGTCAGGCATTCTGGAACCATCCAAGAAGCACCAGAGAAAAGGACACCGGTCCCAGTGGCGCCGGGGGATGTGTCCTCGGCGGCGCGCCCCCGTGGCGGACGTATCTGGGTGGGTGGCTGTCCGGCGTCTGTCCTCGCGGATGGCCGCACTTCGTCCGAGGAACTCCTCCGCGCGAAAGGGGGCCGTACTTCGTCCGAGGGCCTCCTCCGTGGGATCCTGACCCGAGCCACGCCCGCCGGGTCATGCCCCGAGCGCGCTCATGGCAGCTGGAGCAAGCCGGCGGCGCCCGAGAGCAGCAGATGGCTGCGCGAGCGCTGGAGGTCCGGCTGCCTGGACGCAAGGCTGATGGTTGCCACGTCCATGTGATGCGAGAGAGAAGAGAGAGAGAGAGAGAGAGAGAGAAAAAAAAAAAAAAAGAGAGAGAGAGAGAGAGAGAAAGCCAGGGAACGGCTGACGGCCGCAAAGGTTTGTATGAGTCCCCAGAGATCTAGGAAGACGCCTCGTGTCCGGAAGCTCACGGGTGGTGAAACACGTCGGGCGCCGGGGGGTAGAAACAACCAGGGCGCCCGAAGGCTGTTGCGTGTGAGACTGCGGCATCCGTGTGCCATCCACACGCATCTAACAAGCTGGAGCTGTCTAGCTATGCTGCGCCTTGGTGAAGGTGGGGCGGCCGCCTGCCCCAGCGATTGGCAGCCCCGAGGTATTACGGCCATCGGGCCGGGCGCAACGGGGTGAGGCGGGCCCTGAGGCGGGCCGGCGATCGCTGACCAGAGGAGCAGTTGCGCCTCAAGCCATTGAGCGTGTTGGGGGTGGGTGGGGTTGGCAGGGGCCCGACACCCGTGTCAGTGACGGCGGGTGGCCGATCAGTGGAGGGGGCCTGGGTTGGCTGTTGGCGGTATGGTCAGAGAACAGAGGCCTGGTGGCTGCTGCTCTGGTTGGGCATCGCCCTCAGTCAGAGCCTGCTGCGATGAAGCGGCTAGCTTGCCAGTGGGCAAGGGGCTGGTGGGGATACTTTTTTGGTCGCAGCCACCAGCGAGTGCCCAAGCGGCGAGAGAAGTTGTCCTGGCCGACGGGCAAACCTAATTAGCTACTGAGCGCAGCACGAGCCGGCCGGGCCAGCTCACAAACGCGGCAGCTGTGGCAGCGGCAGCGGGGGGCTGGCTGGCTGAACTGGAACGCCCAGGGAAGCTCAAGCAACGTACAGACCTGCGGCAAAATGCCAGGAAATTCTGTGTTCCGCGCTGTGGCGGCCAGACGTGGTAAACGATGGGCCGTCGCCAGTGTGGCAGGAGAGCCCCGAATCGAATCGGTAAATCGGATCGGCGATCGGCATGAGTCGGATCGGCAGAAATCGGCAGCCAGGTCAGGAGAAGTCGAATCGGCAGAAACCGGCAGGCTGGTAGGCCTCCACTGTGGAATCGGCATCCAAATCGGAATCCGAAGTCGAATCGAATCGGAATCGGAGGATATCGAAATCGAATCGGATCGACTCGGAGGAATCGAAATGAGCCCTGGTGGGGCGCCAAGCCCAAGCCGCGCCAACGGCGTGTGTTGCCAGCTGAGCTGCTCCGCCGAAAAAACGCCGAATACCAAGCTGGTGGTGGGGTGGGCAGGGAGGGCGGCCGAAACTGCGAAGGCTGAACCACTCGGAGCTGGCTGTGCCTCCAGGGGCCGTGCGCGGCGTGAGGCCAAGCTGGTGGGGAAGAACATCGCCAGCAAGGTGGGGCGTCCAGGGTGGAGCTGCGCTGCCGCAGCCGCGTGGTGCACGCCGAAGGCCACCATGGGACGGCCTTATCCGCCGCGTCAGCCATTCCCCGCGGGGATCCAGGGTCACCGTCGAATCCACCATAACACGTGGGTTTCCAAGGTCGCAGCTAACCGCCTCGGAAGGTGAGGTAACGTTGCCACTGACAGCGGGGGTCCAAGGCAGCCCTGGGGAGTGGAGACGAGAGCCTTCGAGACCAGCCGGCACGCCTGGCGGCAGCCCGGCCAAAAGGAGGCCCGGGGGATGGGGCGGGGGGGGAGACGTGACCGACCACCCACGCGGAGGGGCACCACGGGGGCGCCCTGCGAGGGAGGCGCGGGGAAACGGCAGCCCGAAGGCCGAGGGCAGGGGACGCGGCCAGGGCCCGGCCCGAGAGGGACCCGAGGAGAAAGGCGGCGGGGACGAACATCACCGGCCTGGTGGCTGCTGCTCTGGTTGGGCATCGCCCTCAGTCAGAGCCTGCTGCGATGAAGCGGCTAGCTTGCCAGTGGGCAAGGGGCTGGTGGGGATACGCGAAGCGTCAAGAATTTCGGTCATGGCTCCATTCCATTCTGGCTCCCTTCTCGTTCCCGCTCACACTCATTCTAGCTTTTGGCCATTCAAGCTCGTTCCCCTTCAAGACTGGTTCCACATCGTCGCTGCCCTTCCTTGTCAGAGCACCAAGTTGCGCTGCTGCACTGTCAGCCAAAAAAACAGAACTCCTCGTCCTCCTCAGAAGCCCCTCTTCCTTACAAATAACTCCTCCCTGTCGCACTCCGAGACGGGTCGGTAGGACGAGCCGTGCGTTTCGCCTGAAACTTCCTCACCATTTGCAACCCTGAAGCGTAACAAGCTTGCAGCCGCTTCACAGGTGGAGGGCGGGCCGTTTTCACAGTGTGGCTATCGCTGTAGCTCTGCGCACACTCGTCGTCAAGTTTGCAAGAGTTTCACGAACGGAGGGCTGGTCGATTTCAAAACGAAGCTATCTCATTGGCGCCGCACACATTCGTCTGAAAATATTGCAAGAGCTTCACGTATTGAGGGCGGTTCCTTTTCAAAAAAGTGACTCTTGCCATGACGCCGCGGACATTCGTCTTAACAGTCTACGATATATTCAAGAATCCATATTGCTGCCGTCCCAGGAACTGTGTCTTGGTACGATTTCGGATTGTCGGGGCGCGACAGTCACCTGGATTCGCGGTGTTGGCGTCCCAGAACTAATGCTCTAGCACGATCTGGGATCGCCAGGTCGCGACAATAACGTGGGTTCGCGGCGTTAAAATTCCATGAATGGTTCTCTGGCACGGCTGAGGATTTCTAGACGGCGTCTTCTAACGGGGGTCTTCCAACTGCGAAAATAAATCCGAATAGGAGTCTATCAAGAGGAAACTTGGAGGGAGAGTTTACTGACACATCGTTGATGAGTCTTGGGCATACACTGGTCATCCTCCTTCTTCTCCTCATCCCACTCCTCGTTCAAAAATGAGATCCTGGACCTGTCTTGGGGTGCATCTTGTTCAGAAGATGAAAGGAACCCTCCTCCTCCCCCTTTGGCCGTTGCCCGCGTCGAGGTCTGGCGACGACGGTCACCGACGACGACAAAGACGACGACAAGGACCAAAGACCAAGACCACAACAAAGGTGACGCCGACGACGACAAAGAAAAGACGACGACAACCAAGAGGGCGACAGTAATGGCGGCGATGACGACGACGACAAAGACGGCGACGGTGACGGCGGCGATTACGACGACGACAACGACGAAGACGACAATAACTACAAGAACGACAACAAAGGCGACGACAAGGACGACGACGAAGACGACGGCAGAAAGCAACGACGGCAAAGATGACAAGGACGACAAAGACGGCGACGAAGACGCCGACCACGACGACGACGACGACGACGATGACGACGACTATGACAGACGACGACGACGACGACGACGACGACGACGACGACGACGACGACGACGACGACGAGGACGACGGAGCTTTCCTCGAGGTCCAGTGGCGAAGGCAGGTAATCCACGACGGCGTCGAGGAGCGGCTGGACACCCTTCCCCCCGGGGGCCGGTCGTGCCCCCCTCCCCGGGGAGGAGCTGGGCCGAGGAAGGGATTCCAGGGGGGGGGCAAGGGGACGAGGCCGAGGAGGGGGGGAGGGGGCGGGAAGGGGGGAAGGGGGAGGAAGGAGGGGGGGAGGGGATGGGGGGGAGCGCGGGCGAGGAGGAGCGGGGAGGAAGGAGAAGGGGAGGGAAGGATGAGGGGGGAGAGAAGAAATCTGATGGTTCGGATGGTACAGATGGTTTCCGTCGCCAGGCACAAGGAAAATGTCACACGGCTCGTCAAGTTCATGACATCACCAGCAGGGGGGATCCTTGCGACTAAAACGGCAGCATCCAGGCAGGTGGTTAAGGTCGAGTGGGAAGCCATAAGATACGACAAGCGCTGCGAGACGTGCCAGGCTTCGGCCACAACAATGCGTTCCTGCGGGGCGGCGCCCGGGTTTTTTTTCAGCTCGCCCATTTGATCCTCTTACGCCACCCGCAAGACCCCCTCCACTCGAGGTCGACTGGGCGGCCAACTCATTCTGTCGGGTTCGCTCGTCGAGGGCAGCCATACGAGCATCCGAATTAACTGGCGTCATGATTCGTCCTCACCGTGTCGCAGGTGGCTTCGACAGTCGGGACACGCCGTGTCCGTGCAACACGGTCGAGAGGGAGGGGCGACAGAATCTGTTCGGCGGGCCCCCTCGCGAGGGCCCCTTTTGCGAAGAGTCCTCAGAGCATCTCCCTCCCTCGGGGTGGGGTGGGCGCAGGAGCGCCGAAACTTCTGCTCGCGCCTCTCTTCAGCCCAGGTCCCACAGAACACACACACACACACACACACACACACACACACACACACACACACACACACACACACGCGCGCGCTATCTGTCCAATCGGCCTGCTCAGGGGCAATCCACCTACTGCCATACTGGTGCACCGCACCTGGCTGGTGGCCCTGCGGAGTGCCGGGGGTCCCTGTACATCCCGTCAGGGGCTTATCCTGCAAGTCAATATCGGCGGCGAGCGAGGGGGGAAGTGAGAAGGAGAAGGCCTTCTCAAAGCAAGCCGTCCCCGAAGAGACCAAAATCTTCTCAGAAGGCGCGAGGGCTTCTGAAGTCCCGCCGCCTTCTGAGGATGCCTTCTTCACTGCGTAGTCAATCACTTCTTGTCATAGTTCATAGCATTGCATCTGTAGGCATGGCATCGCACAGCGGAACGCAGCACCGCATTGCATTACATGTCATGGCATGGCACTGGAAATGAGGCCAATGCTGCAGCGGGAGCACGATCCCGAACGAGCGGAAGCGCGGAAATGAGGCTGAAGCTGCAGCGGGAACACGATTCGGAACGAGCGGAAACGAGGAGGGAGGGGGGCAGGCTTCTCAAGGGGTAAGGAGAAGGGGAGGGGGTGGGTAGGGGGAGGGGGGGAGACTTTTCAGAAGGAGGCTGCTTCTTAGAAGGCGCCAGCCTGATATCCGTAGATCACGCCCACGCCTCCTAAGGAGCAGCCTCCTTCTAAGAAGCCTCCCCCCTCTCCTTACCCCCCTCTGCGCGTGGCCGACGAGGCGCGGGCCAGCTGGTCTGGTCCCCTGACAACCAGCCTCGAACTGATCCGTATCCCTGAGATTAAGAAGCCTAAATTAAGATTGTTTTTCGGTTGCCTCAGTCGTCATCAAGGGCAGAAACAAGGATGCGCTAGCGCGGGACGAAGTCGCGCGCAGGTGATCGCTGCGGTCTCACAAGACCTCCTCGAGTGACGGCGCGCGTGGGCCACCTGCAGAGCGGGCGCGCCCCTGCGCCGCGCGCGCTCCTGCCGCAAGGGGGAGCAACCGCTGCTGCGCGGCCGCAGCTGCAAACTGCGCGACCAGAGCATCGAGGAGACAGAACACGGCGCTGCCGGGTCCGACTCCCGCGCGGCCCCTGCGCCGCCACCGCGGCCAGCGCCGAGGCCAGAGGTGGACCCCGCCCCCGAGTGCGAGGCCCTCGAACGCGCGAGGGCGAGCGCCGCAGCCCCCTTCGGGCGCGCCGCGGCGGCGCTCTCGGCTCGAGGCGGCCCGTCGGGCCTGGGAGGGGCAAGAAGACGGGCTCGGAGGGAAGGGGGAAGGGGGGAGGGGGGAGGAGGGAGGGAGGAGGGAGAGGGGAGGGAGGAGGGAGGGGGAAAGGGAGAGGAGGGAGGGGGAGAGGGGGAAGGGGGGGAAGGCCGCTCGACGGGGGGACCGCCCGCGAGCGGCGCCCGCCGCGCGCCCAGGGAGAGCCTCGGGCTCCCCCCGCGCCCTGGGCCTCCCACGCCCTGGGAGAGAGAGAGAGAGAGGCGGCGACGCTCCGCCATCGTCGGACCTCTGGGGCCGCCCGAGGAGGGTCCCGCGCGAGGGGCCGGACCCCCGGGAAGGTTACCAGCCTCGAACTCATTCCAAAAGGCGACGACAATCTCAGGGATTCGCCCTCAAAAAATAAGGGCATCCCTAAGATTGGCGTCGTGATGAGGAGATGCCCAGCATAGGGACAGGGATATGTTCCAGGCTGGTAGGAAGGGGTCGAGCGATAGGGGACCCGCAGAGCGGGGCAGCCACAACTCGTCGGAGGCCCGAGGGCTCCTCGCCCACGAGGAAGAGAAGGAGGCGCCGCAACAGAGAGGGCGAGAGTCGTGCCATGATGAAGGGGCCCTGGGACACACAAATAAATACACACAAATAAAATCATTCCCCATATTTTCCAACATCTTCTGGGTTTTTGTCTTCCCCCCAAATTCCCACATTTTCCTATACATGTTTTGGAAATCGACGATTAATTGTGTCTGTGTGTTTTATCCCTCCTGAACAACGTCGGAGGCCCGAGGTCGCCTCGCCCACGAGAAAAAGAAGGGGGCGGCGCAGAGGAGAGGGCGAGAGGCGTGGCATGATCGGCCACACGCAACAGCGACCCCGGGTGAGAGGGACCTGTGGTGCGCGGCTTTCTGGGGGCCGCGGGCGGACCAACACACAAGCGCGCAGGGCGCTGCTATCGCATCGCGTTCGGCGATCGGGGGAACCCGATGGGCCCGCAGCAAAGGTCACTCCGGCGAAAGGTCGCTCTTACGTCTGGTCGACATGAGAACACTGGCCCGGGACACGTGCCAGGACTTCCAGAGCGGCGCAACCAGCGCGGACCAGCAGGAAGCACACGGGCAGTGCGGGAATCCTTGGACATCCTGGAACGCATCACCATCATGATCCTTCGCCCCCTCTGAAGCAAATCCCTGGCGCCGCGCCCGCTGGCCCAGCTCGAGCGGGCCCCTCCGGCTGGGGGCGGGCCCGTGGGGCCGCCTGTCCCCCTTTGGACGAAAAAGCAAAAAACAAAAAAACACACAAAAACAAAAAAAAAAAAAAAAAAAAAAAAAAAAAAAAAACGGCAGTGCTCCCAAAGTGCCCCAAACGTAGTCAGGCAAGCGCCCCCAGGCTATGTTTGCTACTATCTGGGAATGTTCCTCCTGTAGAGGGACAGGCCCGACTCAAGGCTCCCTCGCATATCGCGCGCGACTCGCGCGCGCGCGCCTCGGGCCGCCCTGGAGGCCCTCCCCGAGACGAGGCCAAGAGACGGCCTGGCTCGGCAGGCGCAGGCGGCGCTCCGCTTTCGCGGGCGGGAACCGCTCTGCACCTGCCCGTCGTGCTCCAGGTCCTCCTCCTCCTCCTCCTCCTCATCCTCCTCCTCCTCCTCCTCCTCCTCCTCCTCCTCCTCCTCCTCCTCTCTCTCCTCCCTCCTCTCCTCTCTCCTCCTCCTCCTCCTCCTCCTCCCTCCTCCTCCTCCTCCTCCTCTCCTCCTCCAAGCCTCCCTCCAGCCCTCCCAGCCTCCTCCTCCCTCCTCCTCCTCCTCCGCCTCCTCTCCTCTCCTCCTCCTCCTCCTCCATCCTCCAGCCTCCTCTCCTCCTCCTCCCTCCTCCTCCTCCCCTCCTCCTCCTCTCTCCTCTCTCCCCTCCTCCTCCTCCTCCTCCTCCTCCTCCTCCTCCCTCCTCCTCCTCCTCCTCTCCCTCCTCCCTCCTCCTCCTCTCCTCCCTCCTCCTCCTCCTCCTCCTCCTCCTCCTCCTCCTCCTCCTCCTCCTCCTCCTCCTCCTCCTCCTCCTCCTCCTCCTCCTCCTCCTCCCCCGGGGATCTGCGGGCGTGCGGAGCGAGATCCTGACATGCCGGCCCATCGCGGCTCCGCGAACCCGGCTGGCCGCAGCCCGGAGCTCGCGGGGGCTCGCGCGGAGGGGCGGCAGCAAGAGAGGCCCGCCCAGCTGGAACACAGCCGGGCTCGCTGGCCGATTCCAGACACCGCGTGCACCAGTATGGGACGCCACAGGTGCGCTTCTGATACCAAGCAGCACTGGTGACACAATCTGAAAGCCCCCCTGGGAGGCATGACTTTTTCGCACGCATTATCAAATCACTGCCAGCAGGCGTGTGCAAAGTGGCTGGGTAGTTCGAAACGGCCGCGCTTCTCCTCCTGCACCACCTCTCTCTGGAACTCTCCGCCTCCACCTCCCCACCAAAGCGGCTCATGGCAAGCAAGACGGCCATGTGCACTGAGACTGGCCAGCGCTGGCCCCCAGCGGAAAACAATTCCGAGCCCGACTAGACGGCACCTCACAAGCAGGTCGGGTGCAGCGCGGGGCCAGCCTGGGGCCTCCTTGCTCAAAATCAACAAAAAGAGAGCGCTTCAAACGAAAGGGCGAGAATGATGTCAACGCCCGCCCTTCTCATCCTGCACCACCTCTCTCCGCAACTCCCCCCCTCCGCCTCCCCACTAAAGCGGGCGCACGGACGGACGGACGGAAGCCACTTCAGCAGAGCTGTCCCGTCGAAGGGGATGGGCGCGCCAAGCGCAACGCGCTCAATACGGCATGTGCACAAAATCATATTCGAGAGCATTGCTCGTGGGCGCCCCCGTGGGCTCCCACGATGACCATGTCGCTCAGCCCCCCGCCCCTTCTGCGCGGCGCAGGGCGGAAGCCACCCGCCGCGCCCTACGCCAGCGAGCCACCCGAGGCAGAACGGCACGACCGGGCCCCGGACCTGAACGTGGCGCGCGGCGCCGACGACGGCTTCAACGGCACGAGGGGCTCCGAGGCCTCCGCGGTGGCGGTGTCTCCGCGGCACCGCCGCGCGCGGAGCGCCAGCACTGCCGCGCCCACCCAGTTCATCGGCTCGTCCGCGGCCCCGCCGTCGGGCTCCGCAGCGTCGGCGGGGGCGGCGCTGCTGCCCGCCGCAAGGGGGCGCCGCCACAGGCCGCGGGCCTGAAGGCGGCGCGCTCCTCGTCGGTGATCGGGGGGCGGCATCGCACGACGCCCTCGTTGAGGACGCTGAGGGAGAAGCGCTGCGCTGGGCGCATCACGGGGCGGGCGGGGGACTCCTTGAGCAAGGTCACGCCCTGGTCGCCGCTGAAGAGACGGGCCGTGCGGCGCGCCTCCGCCATCGCGGGGAACTGCACGCAAGCGGTCCAGTCTGGCGGATGGCTGGGTGTACGCAGTGCGTTGTCGGCTGAGCCGAACTGCTTGGAGGCTGCAGCGGAAGAGT